CCCAGCCTGTTCCTGCTGTCCCCCGCCCCACTAACAGGATAAAGGGCCAGCCCTCTGGGGCCGAGGGAGATGCAGAGCTGAGCAGGATGCAGGGCAGTGTGGCAGGGAGCTGGGCCTCCCGGGGCCTGCTGCTGCTCTGTCTTCTTCTCCCAGGTGCGGAGGTCCCCGACCTTGGGCAGGAGACTGGGGGCCCCTGGGGAACTGAAATTAAAGGAAGGGGTGAAGGCAGGAGGGTACACTTTGAGTTCTCTCAGGAAATCAGGGAAGGCAGGGCGTGGGGAACCTGCGGCCTTGGGGCCACATGTGGCCTTCTGGATCCTTGAGTACGGCCTTTTGATTGAATCCAAATTTTACAGAACAAATGCTTTATCTTCTCTTTCCCTCAGGCCTCTTTGCCCGGAGCATCAATGTAGTGGAGGAGAAAGTTCCCCAGAACTTGGGGTCCGGGTTGCCTCTGCTTGGACGGCCTTCCTTGATGGGCCCCTCCACCTCGGAACACCCTCAGCCTGCGCCAGCCTTGAGGTCCAATGATTTAGCACGGGCTCCCCTGAAGCTCGATGCTCCTCTGTTAGGCAGCTCCCAACCTGCGGGGCATCCCGGGGTGCAGAGGTGGCCTCCACTTGGGGGGCCGCCGCCGTGGATTCCTGGCTCTCCGAGGATCCCTGGCAGATGGTGGCTGCTGCTGCTGAGGACGGTCCGGAAGCGCTGCCGGAAGGCCGGTCTTACCTCTCCAGTGCAGTTGCCCTGCCTCTGGGCAGCGGCCGGTTGCCTGAGTTCACTGCACGCGCCGCAGGCCCCTCATCCGAGGCTGCACTCCTCCTGCAGGACTCAGAGTCTAGACGGCCGCCCCGTTCGCTAGGAGCCCAGGGAGAAATCCTCCCCCAACGCCCGCCCTGGTCTCTCATCCACAGGGTTCTGTCTGGTCACCCCTGGGGAACCCTGAGTCCCAGCGTGTCCTGGGGAGGTGGAGGTCCTGGGACTGGATGGGGAACGAGGCCCATGCCACACCCTGCGGGAATGTGGGGTAGCAACACTCTGTTCCCTGGTACCGGCTGGGGGAGTATTAATCGCTATCCCGGTGCTAGCTGGGGGAACGGTCATCTACACCCAGGTGTCAGTAATCAGCTTCCCTCCACAATGCTCCGCCCTCCTGGCTCTTCTTGGAACGTCCCAGCGGGTTTCCCCAGTCCCCCAAGCCCTGGGCTGCAGTGGGGTTAGAGCAGCACAGAGCACAGCCCCAAGCTGGGCGTCAGAGAAGGGGTGCCGCTCCCAGGACCGGACCAGCTCAGTTGAGGCCCAGTCAGCGTTTCCAGCGTTCTCCCCACCTCTCACCCCTGCCCTGAGACACCAGGCTAATCTCCAATAAAAACCAGCAGTTACTGAATTTGCTGCTCTTGGCGTCTTTCTTTCTGGGCATAAACCGAAGGGAGTTTTGTCAGTTCCCATTTTCTAGCCACCTCCACGTGCCTCCAGGGGCCCCTGCAGATGCTCTCTTGTTGTCCCCATCCCTTGCAAAAGATCAAAGCCCAGGCGCTTGAGGTGGAGTCTCATAGTCTCACCCTGGCCAGACAGGAGAGCTGGTTCCAGAATTGTCCCAGAATCTAAAGGGGAAGGAGGGGCGGCAGGACTAAGTGGGATGGCACCTGTGGCCCGTGGGGAGAATGAGGTCCCAGAAGGAGGCACAGGGCAGGTGGGATAAATACTCGGCAATTCACAGAAACGCAGAGAGCGGTCATATTTTCTACGCTTCACTTATCTTTTCTTCAGCAGAAAGTCACGCTTCTTAGAAGTGGCGGATACTTCGATCTCCTCCCTTACATGCATCACTGAGCACACTGTGCTCCAGAGAACCACAGCCTTGGAACCCTTGCTGAATAAATAGCAGCCTCCATACAGGAAAGGAGAGAAAAGGGAGAAGGAAAAGGGAGAGAACAACGTTGGAGCCAACAATCCCACCTGCAGCAGCATTTGATGTTTTTATTCCCCAGCCTCTCCCTTTGGTTACACTGTTGTCTCTCCTGCCCTCCCTCTGGTTTTCCCAGGGCTCTGCGTCCTCTACAGGAGTTGGAGCGAGGGCGGTGGAGGGTCAGGCTATGAAAGCGCAGACACAATCGGCAGGAATGGGGTGGAGGTTGTTTGGCTCCGGATTCTCTCTTCCCTGCGCCGTGTACCGCCCGCCCGCAGTGGTCCAGGTGTTTGCACCCTCCTCCCATCCTGGGGATCCGCCGGGTCCCTGGGAACTGGGCAGCTTGTGGGAGAGGAGGCGGGAGGAGGAGAAACACCTGGACCGAGGGCTGGCGAGCTGCCTGCCTGCTTGAGCGGGATGCGAGTGTTCTCAGAGGAGAGTCTCTGTCCTGGCGTCTGCACGTGGCTCCGACCTGAACTGAGAATCCCTTCTGGGGACACCTTCCCCAGGAGCCCAGCCTCCCCGTCGCCAGCCACACTCCCCTCTCCATCACCTCAACCTCCTCACCGGTTCTTTTCCCTCCACCCCTTGGTCCCTCCCTGTCCTAGGCTGGGGGGTGAGTGTCTGTTTTCAGTGCCCACCTCTTCCGCAAGCCGAAGCTCATTCGCCCAGGCTTGGGCTCTCCTTTCTCTCTGTCCCCTTTCTGCTTGTCCCATCTCTATTCACTCCTATTTGCACTTTTAACCTCCGTGTCAGCAGCCCCTGCGCTGCGCCCCAGGCTCAGAATGTAAGCACCGTGAGGACAGGGGCTTTGTCTCTTTCCTCCACTGCTGCACCCAGCACCAGGAACGGGGTCTGGAGCAGCATGAGGTGAGCACTGGGGGTGCGGCCCAGTCCCCTCTGTCTCTCCCTCTCTCCAAGCCTCCCCCACTTCCTCTCTTCCTCCGCCCTACTCCTGAGCCACCCGGCTGCACAGAGTCAAACCTTACCCGGTGGTGGCCTTCCCAGAGCCTCTCCGGCTTCCCCACAAACCTCCTGAAGCGCTTCGCAGCTCATAAAGTGCCCCGTGCATTTCATCATTTAGCCTCCATTACTCTCTGTGAGGAGGGTATTAAAAGGTTCTTTTTACAGATGGAGCAGCTGGGAGTCAGAGAGATTAAGTAACTCACGCAAGGTCACAAGTGACAGAGGCAGTGACTCAAACCTAATTTTTCTCATTATCTGTCCAGGGAGTGTTCAAGTACAATATGCAATTAATAGAAACACCAACTGACTTTTATTATATGGGCCAGACCCCGGGCAAGGTGCTTTCGCATACACCCTTCCAGCGAATCCTCACGACCACCCCATCAGGCGGGCGCTGCCGGGCGCACTGTGCGGGAGCCGGGGCTTGCACACGGCCACGCTGGGCACAGGGGAGTTTGTCTGTCGCTGGGTGCTGACGGCTCAGGGGAGCTGGGCCTGCAGCAGTGGAGGGTCTTAGTAGCTGTGGCTGGTCCCTCGGGGTGGTCTTTGGTTTAAGGTTAGTTGTTGTTTAGAAAAAGAGGAGGAGAGGGGTCAGTAATCTGTGATATAATAATGGCCCTAATGTTCACAGTGGAGACTGCTGCTGGCGCACTGATTTTTACATCTTCGTTAGTGGTTAATTGGTAGAAGTGGTGTCCGGAGTAGCAGGAGTCTTTTCTCCTATCCTAAAAGAGCATTTGTCCAGGAGCTAGGAGACCAGGGCTCCTCTTCTGCCTCAGGTCTTCTCTGCCAAGTCAGCCTAGGCAAGCCATTGAACTCTGCAGACCTCAGTTTTCTCATCCGTAAAATGGGATGAAAGCAGATGTCCAGCCTCCCTCACAGGGTTGTTAGGAAGTCTAATTAAGACAATGATAAGGTGACTTAGAGACAGAAAAAGCCCGACCCATCAGAAGGGACTGATCCTAGTGTGCAGTACACTGTCCCAGTGAGACAGTCCCCGCAGGACCATAGAAAGATAATTCTTAATTCCATGGTGCGAGGCTGGCCTGGTACAGTGACCCTAGTTGACTTCACAGTTGAATGTTAAGTTTGGTGAGATGCTTCCCACGGGGAATAGCACTCGAGAGAATGATTCCAAGACCAAGCAGGGAGAGGTGGCTTCTCATTTTAATATGTCATTCCTTAAACAAACTGCATTCACTCAGCGAGACGTGTTTCCTTATACACACACTGTTGGGCAATAGTAATAATAGCTTCCTTCATATGTTTACCATGAACTAAATGTGTTACAGGGCTGTTTCAATGCTAGGGTGTACTTACTCTCATTATTACCATTTTACAGGTGAAGCAACTGCAGCTCAGTAAGGTCAGGTGACTTGCCCAAGGTCACACAGCCATATGAGGCAGAGCGTGGCTGTGGCCCCGTTAGGAGACCGTGAGCGTGGGAGGGTGAGCTGCGCAGAGCAGGAGAAAGTGAGATTCTGCAGCACCCCCCCCTCGCCGCCTTCCCCTCCTCCCTGGCTTAGTCGCCGCCCGGAATCACTCCTCCAGCAAGTCCATTTTCGCCCATCTTCATGTCACCTGAAGGCCAGCAGTTTAGTCTTGGTTTTGTCTCTTTCTCTAGACCAGATGCTATTCTCTGGTTCCTATTCTCTATGTTCCTCGCATTATTCAGCTGGAAGCATGTCCTTTCTCTTTTTTTTTTGAGACAGAGTCTCACTTTGTCACCTGTCTAGAGTGCGGTGGTGTCATCATAGCTCACTGCAACCTCAAACTCCTGGGCTCAAGCGATCCTCCTGCCTCAGCCTCCCAAGTAGTTGGGACTACAGGCACATGCCACCATGCTCGGCTAATTTTTTCTATTTTTAGTAGACACAGGGTCTCGCTCTTGCTCAGGCTGGTCTCGAACCTCTGACCTCAAGCCATCCTCCCACCTCGGCCTCCCAGAGTGCTAGGATTACAGGCATGAGCCACTGCGCCTGGCCACTTTATTCCTTTTTATTTTCAAATTCGTTTTTGTTCCATCACATGGATGGATATACCACATTTTATTTTCCATTCATCAGTTGGTGGACGTTGTAGGCTCTTTCCATTGTTTTGGCTATTATGAATAGAGTGTTATGAACCTTTGTGGAACAAGTTCTTGTGTAGACACATATTTTCATTTTTCTGGGCTACAAACCCAGGAGTAGAATTGCTGAGCCATATGGTAACTCTACACTCAACCTTTCGAGGAACTGCCAGACTGTTTTCTGAGGTGGCTGAGCCATTTCGCATTCCCACCAGCTGTGTGTGACAGGTCTGATTCTCCATACCCTCGCTACCACTTGCTATTATCTGTCTTTTCATTATAGCCAGACTAGTGGGTGTGACATGATTTCTCACTGGGGAATATAACTCTTTCTAAGTGCACATCTTTCACACAGATTTTAGAATTTTGCAACCTATTTTGTCCCCAGAATATACTTTAAAAACCTCTCTTGACCATTATTACATAATCCATTTTCTCTCATTATGATATGTTGACTTGATCTGTTAGTATTATTAAGCCTTATGCATTCCTCATTTGCATTTTACTATAATTAGTAGGGCAATTTAAATATTTCATCGTCTGGGAGAAGAGGAATTGGGTTGACTTGGCTAGCTCTGCTTTTTGGGGATGTTTCTGTTTTGGTACCCACTTTTGGAACCGCCTTCTCTTTTGTTATTGCCTCTGACATCACCCTCGCGGGACGGTCTTATTTCGCCAGCATCTGTGCCTGTAACGGGGCCACTTGGCTTTCTCACCGTTCCCCGTGGCTTTGTTTTCTGCATCCATAGACAAAAGTCAGCACCTATCTCCGCTTTATAAACAGACACACACTTAACAGAAGACACAAAATGAATAGCTCCCTTTTTACTATTAATAAAATCAATTTTTAAAACTCCACTCTTTTCCATTAATGTTACAGCCTCCTCTGGTGCCCTTTCATTAATATTATCTTTTGAGTGTCATAAAGACGTGGTCTTCGCAGCCTAAATTTACCTCAATTAACCATAATTATCATTCCCCCCCATCTTCTTTCTTTCATGCTCAGTTGTCTCCACTTGAGCAATGGGTGCTCTTTTAAGGTGGCTTCTTTGTCCTTTTTACCACTTTCCTTGACATTCCTGAAGGCCTTGCTCCCTGGCAACACTGCAACATTCAGGTCCTGTCCTGATTCTTCCCTTCCCTGAGACATGGAATCAGCTATCACGTGAGCCTTACAGTTGAAGGGGTCCGAGTTTCTTTAAGTGGAGAACAGTATTTGAAACCAAAGGCCAGGCGCAAGGTCCACATGAGAGTTGGTGGTAAAAATGCTGCCTC